AACAGATGAAGAAAATGTAGAGAGGAGGGAGTGAAAAGATGCCAGGTCAGCAGGGAGTTTAGTTTTCTTCCATTTCCGCTCAGCTGCCCGGAGCTCTGCTCTGTGAGCTCGCAATGAGTCATCAAGCCACGGAGCTGGAGGGGAGGACCGAGCCGGCCGGGAGGATAGGGGACACAGGGAGTCAAAGGATGCAGAAAGGGAGGAGAGGAGGGTTGAGGAGGCAGAATCAGGAGATTGGAGGGAGAAGGATTGAGCAGAGGGAAGAGATGATGGGATGGAAGAGGAGAGAGTAGTGGGAGAGAGAGAGCGAAGGTTGCGGCGGCGCGTTACCATCTGTGTAGGGGCAGAGTGAGTAGTGTTGGAGGAGAGCGAGAGAGAAAAGGATACAAAGTAGTGGTCGGAGACATGGAGGGGAGTTGCAGTGAGATTAGTAGAAGAGCAACATCTAGTAAAGATGAAGTCAAGCGTATTGCCTGCCTTGTGAGTAGGTGGGGACGGTGAGAGGGTGAGGTCAAAAGAGGAGAGGAGTGGAAAGAAGGAGGCAGAGAGAAATGAGTCAAATGTAGACATAGGAAGGTTGAAATCCCCCAAAACTTTGAAGGGTGAGCCATCCTCAGGAAAGGAACTTATCAAGGCGTCAAGCTCATTGATGAACTCTCCAAGGGAACCTGGAGGGCGATAGATGACAAGGATATTAAGCTTAAATGGGCTAGTGACTGTGACAGCGTGGAATTCAAATGAGGAGATAGACAGATGGGTTAGGGGAAAAATTGAGAATGACCACTTGGGAGAGATGAGGATTCCTGTGCCACCACCCCTCTGACCAGATGCTCTCGGGGTATGCGAGAACACATGGTCAGACGAGGAGAGAGCAGTAGGAGTAGCAGTGTTTTCAGTGGTAATCCATGTTTCCGTCAGCGCCAGGAAGTCGAGGGACTGGAGGGTAGCATAGGCTGGGATGAAGTCAGCCTTGTTGGCGGCAGAACGGCAGTTCCAGAGGCTGCCTGAGACCTGGAACTCCAGGTGTGTGGTGCGTGCAGGGACCACCAGGTTAGAGAGGCAGCAGCCACGCGGTGTGAGGCCTGTGCGGAGAGGAGAGAACAGGGATAGGCAGAGGCATAGTTGACAGGCTGTAGCAGATGGCTACAATAATGCAGAGGAGATCGGAATGAAATGAACTAAACATCTGGGAGAGGAGAGAGCAGGGCCTCCCTCACCAAAAAAAAATATAACTCTCCCAACTTCCACCTCAGAAACTATAATTGTTTCACTGAACCACCCGAATAAAACTCTCCCAACTTCCACTTTAGAAATTAGAATTGTTGTAAACTACAGCGATTCAATGTTTCAATGAATAGACTCAACTTACTTTATTCAGCTAGCTAACTATGACGCCATAGCTAACTAGCATGCTAGCATCCAATAACACACAGTTTAGCACCAATACTTGGTTACAACAAACTACCAGTAGTGTGTGAACACACTAAACAGATCATTCGTGTCCGTGTCTAGTTCTTTCATAACGCAGCAATAATTAAACGTTGGCTAGCTAGCACAAAGATATTGTATTTAGCTACCACAGTACAGCTAGCTGGTAGTGTTGGCTAGCTAGCAATGGCTGCTGTGTTGACTTTGTTTGAAAACGGCGTCGCTGCGAACTAATGTAGCTGGCTAAAATGATATTGTTTTTAGTTGCTACCGTTGCTAATAGCTACTCGCCAGCTAATCCAGGAGGTGAGTTAGCTAGCTAGCTTCGTGCTACACCCGGCACCGCCGAATACAAAAGTAACCTACAATAACTACATACAACAACTACCCACAACAGCCCACGATGCCTACCTATACTACCTATTAATATACAGCCCACGATGCCTACCTATAATACCTAACTACAATCTAAATACATAGTTTAAGCCTTACTCGACAAAGCCCAAGCTATGTATAAAGCCAAACTTACCCAACGCCAGCTGTCTGGGTGGCAGACTGCAATCAGTAGCTGTAATTAAGTACAGCAGCTACCAACCACCTAACGTTAATGCCTCGGATAATGAGGTTAGAAAAACAGCTGAATGGTAGGCAGCTAGCTGGCTCAATCACAGGTACTCTTAAGCGTGAAATAACATTGGAAACAACTAACCACAGTTGCTAAAAGTTACCAGTAGCTACCCGCTAGCTAGCTAGCTAGCTTTGTTGGTCCAAGTAGTGGGTAAGCTAGCCTCGTGCTTCGCCGGGGTCCGCCGAATACAATACTTACCTACAATAACCTACAATAACCTACAATAACTACCTGAGTAAACTACCTATAATACCTAACTACAATACCTACCTACAATCTAAATACATGGTTTAAGCTTTACTCAACACCATATAAGAAGCCAAGCTTACCTCCTGCTAGAGAAAACACAACCTCTCCCGACAATGCAAGACATTTGTCATTATGGGGTATTGTGTTTAGATTGATGAGGGGGGAGGAAAAAAAATCAATTTTACAATAAGGCTGTAATGTAACAAAATGTGGAAAATGTCAAGGGGTCTGAATACTTTGCGAATGCACTGTATGTGGACACCGCTTCAAATTCAGTTATTTCAGCCACACCCGTTGCTGACAGGTGTATAAAATCAAGCACACAGCAATGCAATCTCCATAGACAAACATTGGCAGTAGAATGGCCTTACTGAAGAACTCAGTGACTTTCAACATCCACCTTTCCTATAAGTCAGTTCATCAATGCTGAAGCGCGTAAAAATAGTCTGTCCTCGGTTGCAACACTCACTACCGAGTTCCAAACTGCCTCTGGAAGCAACATCAGCACGAAAACTGTTAGTCGGGAGCTTCATGAAATGAGTTTCCATGGACGAGCATCCGCACAGATGCCTAAAATCACAATGCGCGCAATGCCAAGCGTCGGCTGGAGTGGTGTAAAGCTCGCCGCCATTGGACTCTGGAGCAGTGGAAACGCGTTCTCTGGAGTGATGAATCACGATTCACCATCTGGCAGTCCAACAGACAAATCTGGGTTTGGTGGGTACCAGGAGAACGCTACCTGCCCCATTGCATAGTGCCAACTGTGAAGTTTGGTGGAGGAGGAATAATGATCTGGGGCTGTTTTTCATGGTTCGGGCTAGGCCCTTAGTTCCAGTGAAGGGAAATCTTAACGCTACAGCATACAATGACATTCTAGACGATTCTGTGCTTCCATCTTTGTCACAACAGTTTGGGGAAAGCCCTTTCCTGTTTCAGCATAACAATACCCCCGTGCACAAAGCGAGGTCCATACAGAAATGGTTTGTCGAGATCGGTGTGGAAGAACTTGACTGGCCTGCACAGAGCCCTGACCTCAACCCCATCGAACACCTTTGGGATGAATTGGAACGCCAACTGCAACCCAGACCTAATCGCCCAACATCAGTGCCCTACCTCACTAATGTTCTTGTGGCTGAATGGAAGCAAGTCCCCACAGCAATGTTCCAACATCTAGTGGAAAGCCTTCCCAGAAGAGTGGAGGCTGTTATAGAAGCAAAGGGGGGACCAACTCCATATTAATGCCCATGATTTTAGAATGAGATCCTTCGACGAGCAGATGTCCACATACTTTTGGACATGTAGTGTATGTTGTTGTTTAACTTTTCGCGCGGCTAGTAGGAAGACGTAAATAATCACTTCCTCGTACACCCCCGACCTGTAGTTGGCGGTAATGTTTTCTTGCCGTCGCTGTTCCTTTTCCCTCTCCTTTCTCTAATATCTCTGCCTCTACTCCTGGTCGTCACTAGTTACCACTGCCACAAAGTCATAAACCTCGCCTATTTCTACAATATATCTTATTAAAATTTGATTTGAAACCTTACCTTAACATTATGCCTAACCCTAACTCTGAGCTATAATAAAGAACCCTAACCTTAATTTAAGACCAATAAGTACTTCTATTTTTTACGAGCCATTTTTTCCGTTGTGGCTGTGGTAACTAGTGGAAACGTATTTTCTTGGCGGGGATGTGGATTCGGAGTAGTACCACTGAGGATAATAAGAACGGTAACGTTAGCTACTAGCTAGCAGTGAAAGCAGCTGGGTCGAGTAAATACTACCGAGCAAGCTTGTGTCACTAACGTTTCTGGGGAACATAGACTACATAAATATTTTGACTAACGTTAACTCTTCAGGCTATCGATACCTAGTTGACTAGCTATATCGTCTTCGTGTTTGTCTTGCCTGAACAGACATCTAGCTATCCGCTTCTGTTCAGCAGAGTTAAATAGGCAGCTTTGGGAAACGAAATAGCTAGCCCGCCAGCCAGGTCACAGAAGTGCAGTGTTGTTGACAGCTCCGGACCGTGCCGTCATCTCCGTCAGTTTCCGAGGATGGTTATGTTAAGGAGTGTCCCTCCACCTAGCGAGGGAGTCCGGCATTGAACAAGCCGAGACCACAGCGGTGTTGGACGGGAAGGGTCTCGGCGCAGGGACTCTCTACGTTGCTGAAACGTATGTGATACTCTGGTGTGGTGGTGGCTAGCAAGTTAGCTAGCATTGTTAGCCAGTTGACATTTGTTAGTTAGCATGCTAGCTAATTTCTTTAAAGTCTTTAAATCAGGAAGTTTAAATACTTACATGTTTCCTTAGTTTTTTGGCTTTGAAAATATCAACTTTTTTTTACATTGTTTTTAGTCATTTAGCAGACGCTCTTATCCAGAGCGACTTACAACTTCAACTTGAGCACCATGAACTTGAATTTTGCATCACGTTCCATGTTAGCTAGCTAACTAGTCAATGACTTGGTGTGGATCTCAATTGTATTTAATTGATTAATCACATCTCCTTACCTCACATCCTCTCTCCTTCTCAAAGCACATTGGCGGGGAAGATCTGAGGTTCCTCCGTTTTGAGGTGGCAAGGAGGGAGGACACGATGAACCAAGGAAATACAATGAGTTTTCACCCTATGACTAGTAGTCACAATGTTGCTTTCCTGTGTTTTCCAGGCGGTTGTCGTGGTTTGACGGGTCAGGGATGGGCTTCTCTCTGGAGTACCCCACTATCAGCCTGCACGCCATCTCACGAGACCTCAGCGCCTACCCACAGGAACATCTATACGTCATGGTCAACGCCAAACTCAACGGTGAGTCACACACCTGTCAATATCAAACTCACAGTGAAACGCAAACTTGTGATCGAGTAAGAAGATCTTAAAGTGTGTGTTCCCCAGATGAGATGCAGGAGAATGCCCATGATGATGAGGATAAGAGCAGTGAGGAAGATGAGTCTGAGGGGATCACAGAGATCCGCTTCGTCCCTAGCAACAAGGCAGCATGTAAGTCTGAGGGGAGAAGGATGTCTAGTAGGGTAGGGCTAAATTAAATTAAATTCATCTTTATTAAGCAGGTCACAGATAATAACATCTTCCACATATAATACAACAAGTGCTGTACAATAGCCAATAACAAGCTACACACATGCATTAGGGATGTCTAAAGCTTTTGGCTTTCCAGTTCTTTGACATGCAGCTCTAGTTTGGAATCACAATGCTAGCTAGGATTTCCCTAACGTGTGTGCGTGTGTCCAGTGGAGTCTATGTTTTCAGCGATGTGTGAGTGTCAGGCCCTGCACCCAGACCCAGATGACGAAGACTCCGACGGGGACTTTGACGGAGATGAGTACGATGTGGAGGAGGCAGGTGTGTAACTCACACTCATTTATACAAGCACACAGAGACACACACACTTCTACAAACAGTACACACACACACTTTTACATACAGTTCACAAACTCCCATAGATGGAGTAATCAAGAAGATGATAATACTAACATTGTATCTCCACCTTCTTTCTCCCTTCAACGGAAAAGAGGCAGGTAAGAAGCCTAACAACTACGCACTCACTCTATCAGCTGCTACTACTACACACACAGGTATGCACACGCACTCACAGGTGGTATTCTCTCTCTGTCCTCCAGAGCATGGTCAGGGTGATATCCCGTCATTCTGTACATATGAGGAGGGTGTGTCGGGGCTGACGGCTGAAGGCCAGGCCACTCTACAGAGACTGGAGGGCATGTTAGCTCAGTCTGTCGCAAACACCTTTCACATGGCTGGTGTCCGCACTGATGAGGCCAATGGAGAGTTTGATGGTGGGTCACACACACATTGTACAAGGATAGGTCACACACACAGTCAAATACAGGATCCGAGGGTAGGTCACACACACACACACTGAAATAGTATTTTATAGAATCCCAAAGGCAGAATGTCATGATCGGGATGTAAATAATACACAGCGGAGGTTCTTGACACTGAGTTTCTCAGCTCTGCTTGTTAGTGGTGGTGTGTATTGTAACAACCACCTGATGGCGCCATTAGGACAGAGTAACAATGATCCTACTCTACATAGTCATTACAGCAGCAAGTACCTAACAAAGAGAACATAACATAATACAATAAAAGATACATACAAAAACATTGATATAAGCTAAAACTACTAGTGAAAGATTGGTTAAAAAAAAAACATTACCAGGCTAGCTCCTTGGGCTCAGAATATCCTGACTGGCTTGTATGGAACGAGCAAGTCTGTCAGATGAGAGGGAGCTTACCCATGGAGTCCTCTAGAAGTTAAAATAAGAGCATTGAAGTCAGCCTGATACTGGCAACTAAGAAGGCAGTACAGTTAGTCCTTCTCTTGAGCACCGGATGGTTCTCCAACTTCTCCACCTGCCGCTGACTTATCTCCAGGCACTACAAAACAGAGTGAAAAAACACTCAATTTCTGTGGTTAAATGTTTTTCTGAGGAGGATAATTTTTTAAAACCTAAAGATGCCATTCTAACATCAACCTGAACACTAAATAAAAATATAATTCACCCTTGTCCTTTAACTTGGTGGGGCACCTTGGGCATGATGCGGTAGAAGACCCTGCATAAATATATGATGGTTATGAGGTGCACTCACTTTGATTTGGCTCCTCCGTCTTCTTTTCACCGGCGGCATCTCTTCTCTCTCTCTCCCAGCACCTTTTATCTCTCTCCCTCCATTTCTCCTCTCATCTCTCTCCCTCCATTTCTCCTCTCATCTCTCTCCCTCCATTTCTCCTCTCTTCTACCATTTCTTCATAACTTTCTCATATCTTTTCCCTATCTGCTAGAATCTCTTCCTCCTTTCGTACCATCATTTTGATCTTCTGTAGTAGCTCCTTCACCTTGTCTTTCTGTCTCTTTTTCCATGTTGTTGATGACATGGTACCTGTTCCCACACTTTTCTAAGAGCCATCTGAGCTCTGGCCCGGCCGCCTGAATGTGTTCTTCTATCGTGGTCCCCCTACTGGCTAGCCAGTCTCCTCTGGAGAACAGAACCATGGTGCAACTCCACACCACCTCTCCTGCTCCCAGCAGCACTAGGTGTTTCTCCACAGCCACCTTGTGTCTCCTGACAAAGGGCGACCCCAGGGGGTAGACCAATTGGAAGGCAAGGGGTCCACCCCCCTCGGCCAGGGTCACAAGCCCCTTCAGTTGACCTTTAACCTTGTCTGAGGTGTCCTCAGCAGGGACCCACATCCAGCTCGTCGTGTCGATCACATTCACCAGAGTACCGTCTTAGTTTCCTTCATGATACATGTCGGTCTGTTTCCCCACGTTGAACCCCCCCCAGTAGCGCTGTCTAGTCCCAGGAGGCTGTTGCCACTGGAACTCTTCCCAGCGAATCTCCCACCTAGCAACACCACCACCACACGCTCCACTACCGATGCCACCATTTTTCATTTTTTTATATAAACACATTCAGACCGCTTGACTTTTTCCACATTTTGTTAAGTTACAGCCTTATTGTAACATTTATTACATAGTTTTCCCCCTCATCAATCTACACACAATACCCCATAATGTTTGCACATTTATTAAAATAAAAAACTGATATCACATTTACATAAGTATTCAGACCCTTTACTCAGTACTTTGTTGAAGCACCTTTGGCAGCGATTACAGCTATGAGTCTTCGTGGGTATGATGCTACAAGCTTGGCACACCTGTATTTGGGGAGTTTCTCCCATTCTTCTCTGCAGATCCTCTCAAGCTCTGTCAGGTTGGATGGGGAGCGTCGCTGCAAAGCTATTTTCAGGTCACTCTAGAGATGTTCGATCGGGTTCAAGTCCGGGCTCTGGATGGGCCACTCAAGGACATTCAGAGACTTGACCGAAGCCACTCCTGCGTTGTTTTGGCTGTGTGCTTAGGGTCATTGTCCTGTCTGAGGTCCTGAGCGCTCTGGAGCAGGTTTTCATCAAGGATCTCTCTGTACTTTACTCTGTTAATCTTTCCCTCGATCCTGACCAGTCTCTCATTCCCTGCCGCTGAAAAACATCCCCACAGCATGATGCTGCCACCACCATGCTTCACCATAGGGATGGTGCCAGCTTTCCTCCAGACGTGGCGCTTGACATTCAGGCCAAAGAGTTCAATTTTGGTTTCATCAGACCAGATAATCTTGTTTCTCATGGTCTGAGAGTCCTTTAGGTGCCTTTTGGCAAACTCCAAGTGGGCTGTCGTGCCTTTTACTGAGGAGTGGCTTCCGTCTGGCCACTCTACCATAAAGGCCTGATTTGGTGGAGTGCTGCAGAGATGGTTGTCCTTCTGGACGGTTCTCCCATCTCCACAGAGAAGCTCTGTCAGAGTGAGCATTGGGTTCTTGGTCACCTCCCTGACCAAGGCCCTTCTCCCCCAATTGCTCAGTTTGGCCGGGTGGCCAGCTCTAGGAAGAGTCTTGGTGGTTTCACACTACTTCTTCAATGCTGCAGAAATGTTTTGGTACCCTTCCCCAGATCTGTGCCTCGACACAATCCTGTCTCGGCGCTCTACGGACAATTGCTTCGACCTCATGGCTTGGTTTTTTCCTCTGATGTGCACTGTCAACTGTGTGACTTTATATAGACAGGTGTGTGCCATTCCAAATCATGTCCAATCAATTGAATTTACCACAGGTGGACTCCAATCAAGTTGATCAATGGAAACAGGATGCACCTGAGCTCAATTTCGAGTCTCATAGCAAAGGGTCTGAATACTTATGTAAATAAGGTATTTTTTTTAATTATTTGCTAAAATGTCTAAACCTGTTTTTGCTTTGACATTATGGGGTATTGTGTGTAGATTGACGAAGGGGGAAAAAAAACAATTGAGTCAATTTTAGAATAAGGCTGTAACAAGGGGTCTGAATACTTTCCGAATGCACTGTAAGTCAATATAACTCCGTATAGTAAATCAATCTGGCCAGGTTTGTTTCACACACACTGCTGGAATTTTCAGTATGAATGGCTTTTTCCTGTGTGACTTGGTCACATTTACTTTGTCATTCAAGGCGTTCAGAGCTCCTTCCTCTATCTTGAAAAAAAACCCACTCACTTTCTTCTCACTGATTGACTGTATGTAGTACTGAGCATAGCCCACGCATATTATGGACATGTGAGCATGAAGAAAGCAGTATGTGTTTAATGATAATCAGTGTATTGGCTGATGAGTCTGCTTTGTCTGTTCTAGTCATTCTATTTCTATGTCTATCTTTGCAGATGGGATGGAGGTGGATGCAGGGTCGACGGTGGCCGGACAGTTTGAAGATGCAGATGCAGACGTAGACCACTAGTAATAGCATATCATAATACTACGTTGTAATTATCAGTACGTTTGTGTGATGTTTTGTGTGATCACCTTTAAATCCACATCCTGCTGTCAACCTTATGGACCTGCTTACAATACTGTAGTTAAGTCTCTCACTCTGTCTTTCTCTCTCTCCCTCTCTTAGATGGAACTCAACTCTACTGCCAGTCAAAGCGCTTGTGGTGCATTGTGGGATAGGAGGAGACTACAACCTCTCCACTTCCTGTCCCCATCGCATCATTTTCTGTTCATCTCCACACACACACATATTCCTCTCTTGTGTTTTTTACCTGAAGAGCAGTTGTACTGAGTTTTCCCCAACAGGGAGCAGTGTTGTCTTTGTATGAAATCGCTTCAATAAATAAATAGTTTTTGTATGAATAACAGTGTGTTTGTGTTCGGTGCACATTCCAGAGGAGTAACATAGGAGCTACACTGGGGTGTCAGGGAACTATATTTTTGAAAAGTTATTTTAATATTTTTAAAGTCTTTGTTTTAAATGTACTCTTGAAATTTTTAATAGCAGAATGCACAAGGCGCAATTTCAAAATTGGGTAGTATATCATCAGTTCCTTTGTTCCTTTTTTTTTATTTAGATTTTTTAGCCCATAGTTATTGTTGTAATGTTTGTGAAAAAGTTTGGAAACCCCTGCACTAGACCACCCGTGGCAACAGAAAACAAGGTTTCTTATTTGCTACACTTAGCTTTTAGGCAGCGCGAGCAGAGCGAGAGCCACTTAAAACTATTGGTCTTGGGAGCGAGCTGTGTCAATCTTGAAAATTTAGCCAGAGTGTAATTTTACGCAAGCCTCTCACCGCGTTTACGTCCATGTTTCATTTAAATAAATAGGAGCAACTCTTGCTCTCCTAAAGTTATGCGTCTGGTGTAGCAGACCATTTACCCACCGGAGCTACACACACTCACACCTTAATGATTGGAAAAGCAACTCAACTCCGATCATTTCAACTGTTTATTTCAACAATGTAATGCATCAAAACTATTGTCAGAGCACCTTTTATCATTCACCTAGGTCTGACCCAGTTTGTGTACATTTACATTACATTTTTGTCATTTAGCAGACGCTCTTATCCAGAGCGATTTATAGTTAGTGCATTAATTTTAAGATGGCTAGGTGGGACAACCACATATCACAGTCATAGCTAGTATGTTTTTCCTCAAAGTAGCTTTCAGCAAAGTCAGAGCTAGTAAAGAGTGGGAAAGTCAAGTGCTAGTTCATGAAAGGCCCCCTACAGGAGCTGCCCTCCCGTAGGGTTGGGAGGGTCAAGAGACCAGAGGTGGCAGAACAGAGTGCTCGTGTTGGGGTGTAAGGTTTGAGCATAGCCTGAAGGTAGGGAGGAGGGGCAGTTCCTCTTACTATTCCGTAGGCAAGTACCATGGTCTTGTAGGGGATGTGAGCTTTGACTGGAAGCCAGTGGAGTGGGCGGACTGCGGAGGTGCGGGGTGATTTGGGAAGGTTGACAATACTCCTCAGGTTGGCCATAGGCATCATACCTATTGTAGAACTGTACATAAATTACTATCTCAAAGTTTTATAAAGATGCTACTAACGCTACTAACTACAGAAATCTACTTTTTACATCAATGCTACACAAATCCAGAGGAGGCTGGTGAGGGGAAGACAGCTCATAAAAATTTATGGAATAGAGTGAATGAAATGGTATCAAACACGTTTGATACCATTACGTTGCAGCCCGATTTTTAAGTGCCACCAGCCACCATTGCACAAATCATATTAGGTTAAAAAACATCTCAATATACAGTGCTGCTTGAAAGTATGTGAACCATTATTTTGCTATAAAATAAACAAAAAATCCTTATCTAAACCCCAATTCGTAATAAAGACATTCCAAGTAAATGACAGAAACAATTATTTTCATTGTTTATTTACCAGAAGTGGTTTATTTAACAGAAACTCAGATTTGATGTGTGCAAAAATATGTTAACCCCTTCAGTCAATAGCTTGTGGCACCTCCATTAGCAGCGATAACATGGACTAAATGTCTCCTATAGCCAGTAATCAGTCTCTGACATCTGTTTTGAGGGATTTTTGCCCACTCCTCCTTACAGAACTCAGACAATTGAGTGAGGTTTGAGGAGTGTCTGGCATGAACTGCCCGCTTCAGGTCCTGCCACAGTATCTCAAATGGATTTAGGTCAGGACTTTTTTTTTTTTTTTTCACCTTTATTTAACCAGGTAAGCCAGTTGAGAACAGGTTCTCATTTACAACTGCGACCTGACTTTGACTTGGCCAATCCAAAACACATCTTTCTCCTGAGCCATTCTTTGGTAGATTTGCTTGAATGCTTTGGGTCATTGTCTTGTTGGAAGACCCATTTTTGGCCCAGGTTTAGCTCCTTGACTGATGGCCTGACATTCTGTTCAAGAATCTCCTGGTATACCTCAGAATTCATGTTTCTCTTAAAGATGTGAAGTCATCCAGGTCCAGAGGAGGAAAAGCAGCCCCAGATCTTGACATGCCCACCACCATGCTTGACTGTTGGGATAAGGTTATTTTGGTGGAAGGCAGTGTTGGGTTTTCACCAAACATAGCAGTGTTGATAGTGACCAAAAAGGTCAATTTTGGACTCATCGGTCCAGAGAATGGACTTCTAGAAACCGTCAGGTTTGTCCAGGTGGTCTCTGGCAAAGTTAAGATGGGCAGTTTGGTTATTTTTTGACAGCAGAGGCTTCTTCCTAGCAACCCTCCCATGAATGACATTTTGATTCAGTGTTCTTCTTATTGTTGAAGCATGCACAGTTACCTGAGATGCAGCAAGGGAGGTCTGCAAATCTCTAGATGTTATGTTTGGGTTGGCTTTTACCTGATTTATTATTGTTCTTGTGGCTCTTGGGGATATTTTGGAAGGGTGTCCACTTCTAGGCCGAGTTGCTGTCATGTTAAATGCTCTCCATTTGTAAATGATTTGCCTCACAGTGGACTGATGGAGCTCAAATCTTTTTGAGATGATATTTATAGCCTTCCCCAGACTGATGTGCTCTCACTACCCTCGTCCTGATGTCCTCTGAGATCTCCTTTCCTCTCGGCATGGTGTGCTTTGCATTCACCTGGATGGGTAACACCAAGTTGACTAGATTTCTTATCTATATTTATCAGAGTCCCACCCAAACTCTTTCCTAACGATCTCTCCTTTGATTGGTTCATTTGGTAGCTAATTATTTACCCACCTGATTCTACTTACCTACTTGATTAAACCAATGCAACTTGGGGTTTACTTGTTTTTGCACCTGCACTAATTCCTTTTTAATTTTGTTGTTCTACTACCCACATGATTTCCTCTACACCAACATATGGTATTGGTAAATGTAAACCTGTTATGTCAGATCAAAAAGACTGGTTCTGATTAAATTAAGATTTCATGGTAAAAACTGAAAAAATCTGTAATTACACAAGGGGTTCACATACTTTCAAGCAGCACTGTACAGTCTTTTTTTGTTTGAATGTGCATAGTTCTAAAGAGGTCACTATGCATCAGGGTCTTCAGTTCATAGGGATGGATGGTGAGTCCAGGGCCGTAGACACCAAACAGAAGAAAACTAACCGAAAAGGGGAGGAATTACCTGAACTTGGCTAATAAGAAACTTGTTTTTGTTGTTAAATGTTTTCTGTTGCAAAACAGTTTTGCTACGGTGTGCACTAATGAATATGACCCAGGGTCATTTCCTCTTGTTAGCCAGAAGGGGGCGGTAGGGAGAAGCTCTACCAGACAACATCTGATCAAACAACAGGACCGAACACATCATACCTGCAGGAGAGAGAGAGGATGGGAAGAGGAGAGCGAGATGAGGCAGAAAAATAGAAAAGGGAAGAGGAGAAAGAATTGGAGGAGTGACAAGGAGAGAGAGAGAGAGGGAGAGCAGAGAGAGAGAGAGGCGTAGCGAGAGAGAGAGAGAGAGAGAGAGAGAGAGAGAGAGCCGAGAGCAGATAGAGAGATAGCGCGTATAGAGCTAGAATGGGATGGTGGTCCCGTAGAGCGAACAAGAGCAGGAGGAGAGTGGGAGTAATGTCAGAAAAAGTAAAGAAAGTGGACCCCATAGTGTGTGTGTGTGTGTGTGTGTGTGTGTGTGTGTGTGTGTTAGTACCTAGTAGAGGAGCCAGCCAGTAGACCAGGCAGTAATCCAGAAAGGAGTGTCCACTGCAGGGGAACTGTGTGGAAAGGGCCAACGCAGGGTTAAACACAGCCCCCGTCATCTTGCCACCTGCAACACACACACACAAACACAAAGGGTTAAACACTGCTCCTATCACACTGCCACCTGCAACAATAACACACACACACACAGGGTTAAACACGGTAACCCACCTGCGTAGGTCAGGGTCGCGGTGAGTGCTGCTATGGCATGTACCCGGTACCTCTGGTCCATAGTGTGTGTGTGTGTGAAGGCGGTCTGCATGGAAAAGGCCCCTGCCAGCTCCACGGCTGCAGCGGTGACCAGAGGGCCGGGGAGCACCAGGCTGGTGTGTGTGTCTGTGTGGATGGGGCTAATGCATTGGAAGCCCTGGAGTGTGTGTCTCAGGTGCAGGTCAGAGAGACCAAGGGCCCACAGCCCCTGTAGCATGGTACGAGCCACGCTAGCTGCCATGAACTGGCACACCATCCTCAGCACGCCGCTCCTAAATAGAATAGAATAGAATATGTATCCATTATCCATATAATACATATCCAATATAGAAAGACAGCAATAGAATACAATAGAATGTCATTATACATAGAATAGAATATGTACCCATAGAATACAATATAATATACATTTTACATAGAATAGAATAGATTATTCATCCATATAAAAAAGAAGGCAATACTAATCATTATACAGAATAGACTAAAATAGGTATCCATTACATAGAATCAACAATATAATAGATAATGTATCCATTACATAGAGACAACAATAGAATACAATAGAATAGAATAGAACCTGGCAGTGAGGCGTCCCCGGTAGGTGTGTTCCAGCGTGCTACAGGGGTTCCCCAGGGCTCCATGGAAGGTGAGGCCATGGACCACAGATGCCAGGTATGTGAGGCTGAGACAGAACTGAGGCTGCAGCCGGCCCACCTCCCCCACCAGACGCAGCTCTAGGTTGCAGATACACAGCTGCAGCGTAGAGACCAACTCCACAGCGTAAACAGCAGACAGACACAGCCCCCTGGGAGCTAGTAGCTTGGTTAAGATTCTCCTGCTCAGCTCACACAGCAGCACAAAGACCACTAGCACACACAGAGACAACACAACGCCTGACATCTCTATCTGCAGATGTCTGCCTCGCTCCTCAGTCTCGGTCTCTCCTCCTCTCTCTCTCCCTCTCTCCCTGTATGTGTCTTCTTGCGTGCTCCTCTGGCTCTGTTTTCTTATGGCTGCAGCAGGCTACCGTGTGTGTGCATGTGTGTGTATGTGTGCGTGTGATCAGAGATGCGCTCTGCTGTAGATGATGATGAGCTTGAGCTCATAGGGTGTGGAAGTGGCTGCCTCCCTCCCTCCTCTCTCGTCTCTCTCCCTCCCTCCTCCCCTCTGTCTCTCCCTACACTGCACTGCTACACCCATGCCTATTGCTGCTATAACGTGGCCAGGCTGTGTGGTGTGATCCCCCCACCCACCACCAGAGAGCACAATACAGATTCAATGATGTCATACCATATACATGTATACCATATACAAGTCCCAAATTGCACCCTATTCCCTAGGTCCCTATATAGGGCACTTCTTTTGACCAGAGCCCTATGGGCCCGGGTTAAAAGTAGTACACTACAAACAGAATAGAGTGCCATTTGAGACAGGCCTATGTCTATGCCCATCACCCTCACTCAATTACACACACTTTTCTCTCCTCCTTTCCTTATATGCTCTCCTTCAGCAGATGCTGTGATTAGTCTGATGATAAATGATGCTGATGATATATCTGAATAAGGCTAATGTAAAATCCGGCCCAGTGATTGACCTCTGCACCTGTCAAGTCTGTAGCCTACAGATGGATAAAGTGGGCACAAGGAGAGAAGGACTCAAGGATAGGAAGCGATATAAACATTAACCATGGTGAGACCCACCCCACCTCCCAGTGAAACAAACAGCCAGACAGACCAATAAGCACACGACTGAGCTTCAGCCTGACCACTGGCATACCAGAAACGAGTGTAGTGGGCGGGCGTTGCTATGTAGCAGGGTGGGGTGTGTCTGACAATAGCCAGGGATTGGCAGAGCCTGGGCAGAGCGATAGAAGAAGGGTTTGGCAAATTGGGCAGAAAGAGAAAACTGAAGTGACTTGTGCGAATGCATGTGTGTGAGTGCTGGCAAAGAGAACGGATCGCCATCAATAATTTTTCAAAAGACACGGCGAGAGGTGAGTTTCTCCTATTCCTTTATCCACAGACAGAACCGGGCATGACAGTCTTTTCAGTTGTACCTTCCTTTACCGGTACATTACAGGACTGTTACCGCCAGACAGACAAGAGGAGCGTGCTCACGGCGCAACACTGTACGGCAAGGGACCGTACATACAGTAGCTATATCAGTGGTTGGATTTAGGGCCGCGACGCAGATTTATCGTTACACCGATTTTGTCCCTGGAAGAAAGGAACAAGGTGCTTTATGTGTGTGGTGGTGTTGAGCAGTGGTGGAGCTCCAGACATTATTTGTGTGTGTGTGTGTGTGTGTGTGTGTGTGTGTGTGTGTGTGTGTGTGTGTGTGTGTGTGTGTGTGTGTGTGTGTGTGTGTGGACCAGTTGTCTGTCGCTTCAGGGTCGACCGGTATGAATGAAACATTTGGGAATATACAGTTATCATTTGAATTAAATAAACTCCGTGTGATGGTCGCCTGAATGAAAATGTCATGGATAACATTTTCTGATCTCATGTATAGTCTAGGCTAGATATTACAGAGTATATACCTTTTAATACAGACATGTTCATTTATTTAATGTCTTTAGGAGAAAGATGTGAAACTAATCATTATGCGTCATAGACAGAGAGAGGGGAGGGGGTCCTTGCGATCCTTCTGGTGTCCCTACCCCATTGAAGTTGACATTTGAAATGGTTAGGGTTGGGTAAGGGGTATGGTAAAGGTAGGGGTTAAGATGAGGGTTTAGGGTAGGGACGTCCCAAGGATCCCGGATAGCACTAACTGGGGAGCGAGACAGACAGACAGACAGACAGACAGACAGACAGACAGAAACACACACATACAGAGACACAGCCACACACACAGACAGAGAATAGAGAGACAGAGAGGGTAGAAAAGAGCGAGTGAGGGAGAGACCGACAGACAGAAAGAGAAAAAGACAGGAAGAAACAGAGAGAGAAGGGGTAGGCTAGATAAGCGTGGCTGTAGCTGTCTGATTAGTGACACAGTGCTCCACAGCCTTCACTCAGTCTGACTTGGCACTTTTGAATAAATGACACATCAGGAATAACAAGCTAACAAAGAAAACTAGGCTAATCTGGGTTGGGGAAACAACACAGTTTGCGTCCCAAATGGCACCCTTTATCCTATGTTGGGGGCTCTGGTCAAAGGTAGTGCACTATATAGGGAATAGTGTTCTATTTGGGATCTAGCCCCATCTTAGTGTCGTCTCTATCAGCACTGGTCTTGTCTCCGTTCTGTTAATGAGACTGAGTCAACATTGACCTTCATGCCCCATAAAAGTTTAATGGCATCAATATGTAGAGGAATAAGTGAGATGTGATTGGCTGACTGGACACCTGTCTGTCTGCATGGGAGGAAAGGGGGTGGGCGCATGTTATGTACAAGTGTAAAAACAGTGTAATAATATTATGATTAGCCTATTCAATGTGATATGAAGAGACGTTGTAGGATGTGGGGTAAGAAAAAGTGTGTGTGGTCTTTCTGGCTGCCTTGTCTCTCACCTGGCACTAGCCAGGTATTTATACCCTGCAGACTGTTTAGGGTTGGACACTTTAGCCAGGCCAAGGTTTAATCATGTCTGCAAGGTGTGTGTGTGTGTGTGTGTGTGTTTGCTCTCTCTATTTACACTCTCTCACACACACACACACACACACACACACACACACACACACACACACACACACACACACACACAGAGGGAGTGATTATTTCTGTTAAACAAAATCTACCCTGTACTCTCTCCTTCTAGTGTAGTACTGTAGAGAACAGAATGCTGGCATCAGAGCTAACCTGTCCACTGAAGCAAGACTAATACTATCAACTATAAATCTGTCTGTCTGTCTGTCTGTCTGTGTCTTTCTCTCTCTCACTGTCTGTCTGTCTGTCTGTGTCTTTCTCTCTCACTGTCTGTCTGTCTCCCCACTCTCTTTTTCCCTCTACACACACACACAGACACACACATAGACATATACACACACACACACATACACATAGACATACACACACACACACATACACACACACCCAGTGACTGGTAGTGCTGCATTAGCACTAATCACTGATTTAAATCACCTTTAAATTCACATCCTGCTGCTGACCATATGGACCTGTAGTTAAGTCCTCTCGCGCTCTCTCTTTCTCTCTTTTTTTCTCACTTAGAGTGTGAATGTGTGAACAGCTGCAGTAGGAATCTCACCACCTCTCTATATTAATGTAGCTGTTTTCTCTACCTCAGATGACCTCCATTGATAGCCGTTATCCTCTCAAATACACACACACACCCTGCTGGTTTGGCATCTGGTCGGCTGGCGGTGTGGTGGCATGTCTGTCTGGAGTCTGAGGAGTATGATAGTTTGGTGTTAAAGGGATAGTTTGGGTGTTAAATAGATAGGTTGTGTTCCCCTGCTCAGACGTTGCTGACTCATGCCAGATCTTACAAGGCCTGGGTAGGTATTTTACGTATCAGCTAACCACATCATATGTTATAGCAATCTGGTGCCTGACTGCACAGTCGATGACGTGGCACGCAACCATTGGTTGATGCATGCAACGTCTGAGCAGGGGAACACAAACTGTATGGAGTAGGATCGTTTGCCGTTAAAGGGATATTTTGGGTGTTAGTTTAGTGTTAAAGGGATAGTGTTTTGTTAAAGGGATAGTTTGGTGGCAAAAAGGTAGTTTGCTACAGTCAGTTAGAATGTGGAAGAAGTCCTTATTTGATCTCTCTTTGGCTATCATGCTAGCTGGATAATTGGTGATCATGCTAGATGGGATTGTGTCTATATCAGGCTAATTGGCAATGAAGCTAACTGGCTATCATGCTAGCTGGCTAACTGGTTAGCTGGCTACACCAATGTGTTGAAAGACTAGCCAGCAGGTTAGTGACAGGCTAAAGGTTTAAGTGCGTCTGAGAGAGTTGCTGGCTATTTTACACCTCTCTGTCTCTCTGTCTCTCTGTCTCTCTGTCTCTCTGTCTCTCTGTCTCTCTCTCTCTCTCTCTCTCTCTCTCTCTCTCTCTCTCTCTCTCTCTCTCTGTGTGTGTGACAGGAGATCTGCTAACAATCACAGACAGCTCTGCAGCTAACAATACTCAGTGAAGACACACATATACACACACGTGTGCATACAATGCATTTATAAAACCATAACAATGCTTGGAGTTTAAATATTTACCAGTTGACTAGTTAAGGGCCTCCTGCTACCATGCTGAACTTTTGTTTTGTTCTCTCTCACTCACACACACACACACACACACACACACACACACACACGTCTAGTTATATCATTCGTTTTCTCGGGGGTGGAGCAGCCTGGGCTCCCAGCAGGCTTTGCAACATGCATTATTTATGGTGTTGCCTTGGTGATTGGCTTGGTGGGCGGGGCCAGACAGCTGGTGGGCAGAGACCCTCATACCTGTATGTGTGTGTGTCTGGTCTAGCTCTGTGTTTAATAGTTATCATATGAGGAGTGAGTAGTTCAGTGGTGAGGTCACTGACCAGCCCTCTCCCTGTAGTTTACTCTTGACAGGCACGGAGAGGGGGAGAAGGAGAGAGAGTTTATGTGTGGGGTACTTAGACTAGTCAAAGTGGCTCACAGCTCTCTTTCAATTCTCTCTCTCTCACACACCCTTCCCTTTTTTCTCAGAGAAAAATAAATAGGGAGAGGAAGAGAGAGAAGGAAAGAGGGCAAGGGGTAGAGGGGGTAAAATAGGGATCAGCTTCAAACAGTTTCTTGTGAATAATGGAGCTCCTAGTATTCCTCAGGACAGGCATTGTTCTCATTCTCTCTGCTTCACTCCCTTGCTTTCTACTCCTCTATCCATCTCACTCCCCTTCCCTCCTCAACGTGCATACACACAAATCTTCAGTGGTAAAGGAGAACTCGGTCAGTGTGAGCATCTCTCTAGGCACGGTTAAACGAATGGACAGCAGATG